ACCAGAAACTTTCCCATCGACTGGATCCATGGTTCTATGCAGGTTCATATGGGTTTGGTCTCCAAATAAGGGGAACCCCCAAAAGGGGCTTTGGTGTCCTGTTAACTTCCTACCCAAAAAGGAGTACCAACTCAAAAAAAGACTCCCCCAGAATAGAATCTAGGCCTGTATCTTTATAAGCACCGCGTAGTTGGCAAAAACGCGCCCTTGTTGGCAACTCGGCTTTTGTTCTCGGATTGATGACACCAGAAGTTTGCGTTTGCCACATTTCTCCTGTTCCAATTCGGCCCAAACTGTCCTTGTGCCATTGGGCTGTCCATGGAGGCTTGGCCAATCCGAATCCAAAAAAACAAAAAGACTGACTGGAAAGGGACGGCCAAAACAAGGATCTTGCGGATTGCATTTGCACAACCCAGATTGAGCAACCCTCAGAAGCCCTCCTCTGCTTCGAAGCCGCACTGCTGCAACGCCAGCGCGATGTCCTCACGCTCGCGAGTCGTTTGCGCGGAGCTGCGGAGCGTCAAAAAGAGGGCCTCACCGTAGGCTTCCATGCTCTTACAAAACTCGTTCCAAAAGGCTCCCGCGTCTCAGGGGCAAATCCGACTCCCGGCTCCTGGGCTCCCTAAGCAGCAAGTCTGAAGGCTCGAAGGACAGCACTTCCAACTCCAGGCATTCAAGCGCAACGGGGAACACCAAAAAGGCACGTGTTCCGACTTGAAAGCGCCTCTCAGCATGCGTGCCAGAGTTTCAAGGTCCTGAACCTGTTTGGAAAGACGGTGAGGTTCCCTACACGTCGCAAGCAAACCAACCCGAAACCCATGGTAAACTTCCTGGTGCCCCTCGTCCAACATTTACGGGAAAACCCTTTGGTGGATATCATTTTTGCATGGGGGGGGGGGGGGTTTGTCCACATGTGGCCAGGTGGCCACCAGTGAAGTTAAAAACCCTTTGTGGAATCTAAGGATTGTAAATGAACCAGCCGAAACCTGGATCCCTTCAACACTTACCACTCGCGTCTCCAACCTAAAACCACACCTCTCAAGAAAAAAAAAGGCAAAATTGCACAGTGGCCTGTCCACAGCGATGTTGAAAGCCAACATCAAAATATATGGGTGTGGCTTTGTTTTCAGGGGACCCCTAAGAATGCAGGTGTTCCGAATGGTTTCCCTCGGAAGAAAAGAAAAAACACCCCCAAATGGGTACCGCAAAAAAACAACCCCAAAACCACAAACAACCTCTTACCCCCGAAAGGGCAAAAAAAACAACACGACAGACCCGCAATCTATCGGTCCTCGCGCCCTAAGAGCCCATCACCATCCACGTCCATCACCTCAAAGGCGGCCTCGGAGTCGTTACGTCGTTTGGCAACCCGCTCGCCCGGTTAGCCATGGCGTATCTCACTTCCTGTTTTTGGGTTGACCAAACAAAGGTGACCCCTTTTTAGTTTACCACTACAATATGGGCTCGAGTCCAAGCCCAAAAGCCTTTCAAGTGCAACGCAGGGGGTTCTACCACTTCACCTGGGTTGGTACTCAACAGAAGTCGAGAAACCAACCCGACATAGGGTGGTTTTGCGGTTTTTACGTTTGTTCCCCTAGACCACCCTCAAAATGACAAAAGGACCCACCCGCGTAGAGCCAGGTGAAACCACCTGCTAAAATTTCGCGGCGCCGGGCGCTGCCTCGATGACAAAGTCACTTCGATCAATCAGATCGCAGCCGTTTCCGGGACATTTCTGCAGGAAACAATATTGGATCTTCAAACAGAAGAAAAACAACGGGGGATGTCGGTAGATGTTCTGGGTGGTTTGATAGAATCAAGAAACAAACCGATCAATATTGAACCCTTCTGAATCAGCCAATGACTAGGGGGGCCTAACTTCCTGAGGATTCTTTTCCAGGGGGCGCATGTTGTAATAAATGGGGTATGAATCAGGGTCAACATGTGTGATGCTGCGCAACAAAATCACTTCATACGAGTTGGTAAGTGCTTTTTCCCGGGTTTCATCCATTTCACCTGCATCCACTTCCAGCCAAGAGGAGACTCATCTTGAAGCCCCCATAATAAACGGGATGTGTCAATCCCCAAATAAGACATATAGACGACCCCTGGAAGAAAGTTGGAAAATTACCCCAAGAATACCTTTCGTGCATACCCCTATGAGGAGCCCGTTCAAAGACTTCTGAATGCTCAAATGGTTTGGGTTATTGAAAGGATCCTTTCTGGCGAAGAGGACACATGCAAAGAATCAACGGTTGCACTTGTGCTGGACATGTGCGCCACTAAGCGACAGGGAATGATGCACCCCCAGTCACGTGGGCAACTTGACATTGTTCACCCTTTGCAGCCTTCCAGGCATGAGGGCAAAGGGAGACTGGCCTGGTATGAACTTCAGCAAAAATGGTAGCCGCTCCCTACAGACCTTCACCTATCCGAGTTCTGAGCGGTGACTCTTGTTTGCTCCACCCACGTGTCTATCCACCTGCTAGTCTAGGTCTTCCAGTAGAGAGGTTAGAATAAGGGTACCCTTTTTTCTGTAGCCTATTTTAGCAGGGGAACCCTCCCCAAAAAAAGAGCCAAAGGGCACTACTGGGGGACCTAGTAGTACTTTCCACCACTTGTCACGATTTTGATCCACGTGCTTTATGGGCGAAAGTACATGGCACACTTCCCTTTCTGTCGATAAGGAGGATGAAGAAGCCTGAAGCTTGTACTTTCAAGCTTGGTTCTCCAAATATAATATGTTCTCATGTTGTAATTCGTTTTGGAGACCCCACAGGGTGCGGTTCTTTGGATTTGGTAGCCGTTTCACCTCTAGTTTGCCCGATTCATGTCCGTTCCCACTTTTGAGGTGGTCACAAAGGAAATCCCAAATTTAGCCGAGACCCTTTTGCTCAGATGGAAAGCAGCCTGCTTTAGGTTCAGCGGGTTGATGTTGACAGTTGACTCATCGGGGATGTCCCTGGTTTAATAAGAACTCGTCACTTTTCGAAGGGAACATCCCCTATTCATAAACTAGTTAGTTGATTTGGCTGTGGGTCAAAATTATGTACCCAAAATGGCTTGCCCTGCCAAATGGAACCAAGCACTAAAACCTGCGGTCCATACCCTGGTGGTCTAATTTTGACCCATACCCATTTGTATGGGGTCAACACTGCAACTCTTGAAACTCATAGCCTCGGAAACTCGCCAACTCGACTCGACTCTGCGAGCTCACTCGGCTCTCTGCAGCAGCGCGCTCCGTGGAGTTGCAGGACATGGCGCCTGAGGCGTGAGTCAAGGACGGGAGGAAGGGAGGGAAGGGAGGGAGGGGAGGGAAGGGAGGGAAGGGAGGGAAGGGGAGGGAAGGGAGAGAAGGGAGGGAAGGGAGGGAAGGGAGGGGAGGGAGGGGAGGGAAGGGAGGGAAGGGAGGGAAGGGGAGGGAAGGGAGAGAAGGGAGGGAAGGGAGGGAAGGGAGGGGAGGGAGGGGAGGTAAGGGAGGGAAGGGGAGGGAAGGGAGAGAAGGGAGGGAAGGGAGGGAAGGGAGGGGAGGGAGGGGAGGTAAGGGAGGGAAGGGCGGGAAGGGAGGAAGCTGACATGGAGAGCCAGAGTTGGGCAAGGGGCCCGATGTGAGGTTCGGCCGACATATGGCTGTGGGTCAAAACCGTTTGGTACCATTTTGGGGTAGGCACTGGGGGTACGGGATTTTGACCCATAGCCATTTCAAATTTCCCTCCATAAAAACATAGCAGCTGTGGGAGGGTCCTCTTGATGGTATCGTGTGTCAGTTGCTATGTTAGTGGGCCTCTTGGTTTTAACAGGGCAACAAAAGGATGCCAACCAGCTTGAAATCGATTCCCCTTAAAACTAAGGGAAATAGATACTATTCATTCAGGAAATGGAAGAAAGGTTCCCTTTTGGGGCTGCTATAAGGAGACCAAAGAGCAAGTCGCCTTTTATGGTTCCCCCATTGTGACACAAACCCAGTTGGTAGGTTTCGCCTAGGTGTACCTTCCATTTAGTTCGGGATTCTCTTCCGAAAACGGCCAAGATGAGGAATCAACTCTTAGACCTTCGGCATATGGGGGTGTCTCAAAAAATGGTTGGACCCTTCTCAACAAGTGAAATTTTATCAAATCCTGGCTGGCCCAACGGTTCCTCGAAGCCAAAAGGAAACCCACCATCTTGGGGCTTCCCCGAGAAAAAGACACACCCAACCGGGAGTTTTCGGGGGCCATTTTCGCGTCCGGGCCTTGGCCTGGATTCGGGCTTATCGTATGGGATGTGCCATGGGAAGTTTCTTTCACAGCCCGCAGGTGGTGGACTTCCTCTAGGTCTCCAAGTAGTGCCCTTTTACCCTTTTTTGGGGGAGGAAGAGAGAAAAAACTGGGCCTCGTGAAAAAGGGAGTGGCTGTTCCCTGGGCGTCCCGTTCTTCGGCGGGTGAAATGGGGCCAAGTGGACTCCCTGAGTTCCTTCATTGGAACCCGTTTGTTTCGTTGAGTTTTTTTTTGCGGAACTCAGAAGTGTCATTCCCTCGTCCGGAGGAAGGACCACATTCTCCAGGAACCTTTACCCTTGTCCGAATGCGTCAAGGGAGTCAAGCTGAGGTCAAGACTTTGAGGCAACCAGGCTGCCAAGTTGCTTGGGCTGCGTGCTCACATTCCATTGAAGCACATTCGATCCCATCCCAGCCCCTCGCCTCATATGCAGACACGCCGTGTCTCGGGCGCAGCTCCCCTGTTTTTTTCTCCACATAAGCTTGCCCTTGGGCGGCCGAAAACTCCTCTCGCAAGGCTGCAACGCGCAAAGGCAGAGGGAAAAAAGGGCCCTCGGCAGTTGGCCGCTTTGCTCTTCACTTCTCCACTGCAGGGCCCCTCTCCATGACATGTTCTGAAAGGTTCTTGACCGCGGATACAAAGGAGATGTAGACACATCAGCTTGCTCCATCTTGGCTCTTGGATCCGGCCGCAAGTTGAACAAGGAATTCTGCCTTTGGCAGACGGTCCCTGGCATTCACAGCTCACGCTCCGGCCTGAGGCAGCGGCGGATACGCCTTCCCTCCCTTCCCTCCCTTCCCTCCCTCCCTTCCCTTAGGCCGTTTCCCTGAACTCCTCACGCCTCGACATGGCAGGTCCCAGGTGCGAAGTCTGCCCATTGGATGCGTTGAGTGTCTCGAGTGTCGTGACTTGAAAGGGAAAGCACCGGAGAAGCTGGCGACTTGAGGGTCCCCCAGTCGAAAACCCCATGAAACAACCCCCGGTTCCTGACTTTGATAGCCCCCAGGAATCGCCAAAACACTTGGGCCAGTGCAGAGCGGTTGTGACACGTTCCCAGCTTAGGGCATCTATGGCAAGCAGGGCCGAAGCTTGAACAAACACCCCCATGCCCATCTGAGCATGGAGCCGCAGCTTCCAGGGGCGACGCAACCTCACCATTTGCTTCAACTCCATCGAAGGGAAGCGGACTTTGAGTGACTTAACCAGAGACCTTCAAGGGCTATCTGACGGGGATTGGAGTCGGATTGGCTCCCGAAGTGCTAAAGAATTTAAGGCCTGGATTTGGGGGTCCCCCAAAACGCCTGTCTTGGTCTCCCTTTGAAGCCAACCAGACGCGGTTGTTTGCAGGGTCCACCAACACTGCCGAGAGAATCCACGGCATCATCACTGGAGCCGAGCCGGAACCCAAAAAAAGTGGCAACGGCTCCGCACATCTTACGCCGGAAACACGAATTGGAAGCCACAGGGACCCTCATGATAAGTTCCTTTCACCCCGAGCCCCTTTTTTTTAGCTGATGGCCGAAGAGGAACCCCAAAATATGGCTGTGACAAATTTGACCCTGCCAACATAGAGGCTACCATGTTTCGCTTGGGGTTTCCCTTGCTACAGAAGAAGAACCTGGCCCGGGCCTATGCGGCAGAACCCCCACCAAAACCCAGCCGCGTGCCCCGGCGCCCAGCTCTTGCACCACGTCGGCGCAACGCGGGCAGAGGCTGGGGTGCGCCTGAAGCCCAAAGCCCAAGGCCGCACGGACCGAAACCCACGGGTGGTGGGTTCTCCTGTTCTCGGTTGCTTTCTGCTCCCCTGCTAAAAGTTTAACTTTTAGTGGTTTCATGGAAAACCCATGAGTTGGCAAAAAAGTGAAAATTCCTACCATCCAAGCCAAATGGACCAAAGTGTTGGCTTTCCCTTTGAATCCTTTTGGCTCGGGGAATTCAATTGCCCAGGTCCAGTTGTTTAAGTCAATGTGCCCAGTCCTGGTGTGGTGACCTTCCTGATTTCCCTGTGCATCTACCGTTACCGAGCCCTTAAAAAGAAAAAAAACACGCCGTGGACATCCATGGCACTTGCAGACCTTCAGCCAGGAGAACAATGGACCTTGAAGCTGATGCCCGCCAGGGCTTCTTTGTTGTTCATGCGAAGCTCCAGACCCAGAGCTGAGCTGGCCATGGGTCAAAACCCAAATCGTACCCCCAGTGAACATCCCAATCCAACCACTAAATAAACTAAAAACCTACCCCAAAATGGTACCCTGGTTTGACCCACAGCCAGCTGGGTCGGTGGTTGATCTACCCTGGCTGACCCTCAGACTCCGTTCTTTAGGCTGAGGTGAAATCAATGGCCCAAACCCTCCCAGTGGGACCATGGGCCTTGGACCTCTGTTTCTTGGTGTCCCGACTTTGCTAGCGGGTGGATTTGCTTTGCTTTGTTCTTTTTTAAGACGGATCGGTCTGCTTCAACCGCCCCGGAGCTGGACTGCATGTGGATGTGTGCATTGCACCTGGTGTGGGGCCATGCTCGTTGTGGCGCTCAAGCCTTGCAGTGAGGAGGATGTAAAGGCCGCAGCTTGCCTTATGCATTGGGCATTGGATGATATCTGGATAGATCCTAGTTGGTCTGCTGGTGGCTTTAACTTCATGCGGTGATGGCTGTGATCGGCTTCTGCTTGAGCTCTCTGGCAACAATGCGTTTTTCGTGGGGAGGTGCCAGAATGTCGAACTGTTTGAGCAACTGAGTGGACGCCCTTACAGTATGGAGTGTGCCTGACCTCGTACAAACATACCTGCAACGCATGTTTTGTCTTGGTGAGAATCACGGTTTGTTTTTGATTCGCTGGCTGGCTTTCTCGACAAGCCTGAAGTTTGGCTGTGCTTGGATTGTGCCTTCTGCTCGCAAGGCATGAGCCCTTGAGTGCGCTGGAACTTTCTCCACCCAACATAAACCCCACCTGTAGTCTCCCACACCAGGGTTGTAGTAATAGTTGCAGGCATGTTCCGCAAAAAGGCCAAGCCTTTTTGGCGTGTTCCAGCGGACCCGCGGACAAGGTGGCTTGTTTTGGGCCAAGTGGACTGGCTTCCTGGCCCTGAATGGGCCGCCAGCCTTGCAGGCGCCGACCGCGTCGCTGAAGACGTAGCAGCGCTCGCATTTGGTGCCAGCGGCGCCTTATGTGGCGAAATCCGCAATAGGAAAATTGAATAGAGAAAAAAGGGTTCCTGGCTGACCTTTCGAAACCAGAACGGGCAGAGGAGAATGTCACGTTCGGGTAGGTTGACTCTTGAAACCGAAAGTCTACGAAAAAAAAACTGGGGCAAACTGGGGAAAGGCGGGAAACCAAGTTTGAGGGGGGCGGTGTGGTAGGACCGTGGGAAAAGTTGTCTTGTCCGTCACAAGTCCAGTCAGCAGCGCCCAATACTCATTGACTTCCGGCTCTACCAAGATGGTGGTCTATACATGCATTTCTATGAACCCCATCAAGGCAAGCAGAATCGTCTCTAATGGCCAGGCCAAAGCATCCCCAGGGGATCTGAGAGCCACGCCGCTCACCGTCACAACCACCCCCAAGTCCTGCGCGACTGATTTGTACATGGGCTATGCCGTTTCTTGTGGCTGAAAGTCCCCATTTTGAGACACACACACACCGCACGCGCGCGCACACGCAACTTTGCGCTTGGCCAAGCGGATACTTTCATGCACATGCCTTCACACATTGCATGAACATCGTCTCTTGCCTGCCCAGCTTCCCCACGCCTGGCCCTGGAGTAAGAACAGAGATCACAGGCAACCTCCAACCCAAATAGCCCCTGGTTGCCAGAACTTGCGCTCTCATAGCGTCGAGCAGTTCACTGCGCTCTGAGGCCTGTAACGCCTTAGGAGTCTCCGACGGCGTCATCCATAGCAGAATTTCTTGAAAGGCGGCTGGCTTGCGAGCTGTCGCCAACAGCAACTTGGTGGAACAACAAGATGTGGCGCGTGTGCGCGTGTGCGTGCATGCGTGCGTGCGTGTGTGCGTGCGCGCGTGCGTGTGGGGCAATCTGCTGAATTTGGTGTCTGGCAAGCAAGTGGCCCCTGTGTTCAGATGGTCCAAACCCAAGAAGTGACTCAAGTCCATGAACTAGTGAAACTGCTGAAACCTTCGCCTCGCGGCCACCTGAAAGGCCGGGTCTCCTGATCTTCGCTGCTGGGCTCATCCGACACCGCCGGCAGCTCGTCAGCAGCCTCGTACTCCGCCTGAGACACCTGATGTCTTGGAGGAGTCAAAGGGCTTGGTCACTCCAGGGCTACCTTCCCCATTCTTTCCAGGGATCCTTCTTTTCAGGAAACCATCAAAAATTCAGGGAAGCAGCTTGTTTTTTGAAAGAACGATGGTTGAAAAGAATGGGAATCATCCCCTCTAGTCACAGGAAAATCTACAGGAAATGGCCCCAAACACCCTAAACAAGCCGTTTTCCTGTAGAATGTCCTGCAACCCAACCCTGTGAAGGATACTGCGGGTTGGAAATTTCCCTTAGGCACCACCGAGATGTCCCAACCCATCGGTTTCTGATTCGATTCCCCTACGTAAGTACCAACAGGTAATGGGAACCCAACCATGGCTTCGGATGCGGCGCTTCGCCATGCAAATGATTCAGCCATCTGCGACGCTAGGGCAAGGTCACCCACTCATGCTTTCAGAAAAGCTCATGCGCCCATCCTGAACAGGAAACCAGCAGCGGGTGCGGACAACCGACATGTTGAACCAAGCCCCTGTGTTAAACACGTGCAAAAAGCGACATGAGGGCTTAAGAGCCCAGCGGAAAGCAGCAGGCTGAGGGAATCCGCGCTGTGCTCAGATTCGGCCTGGGACACAAAACATATCGAGCACCTGGTATAGGCTATAGGATTGTTTTTGTAAATGACTCTGCTTGTCGTTGTTTTGCTGTTAGTTTGACCCTCTGTGTGGGATTTGACGTTGAAAACTTTGAACTTGTTGGATTGCTTTTTGATGTTAAGTGTTGGCTTGATGTGCTCATGAGGCCGTCCTGGCTGCACTAAAGAGGGTTCTCCCCCAAAACAAGGCGGTTGATTCCCCATTCTCTTCACCCGTTGTTCTCTTTCGAAACCACGCCTTGTCAGAATGCTTTTGCTTGCCATTGTTCGAGAAGAAGGATCCCTGAGAACGGAAGAGAAAGGTGCAGCCAGACCAGTGAGGATTTTTCTGGGGATCCCTCAAAAGTGGGCTGTTGCCAAAATCACATCCTAAACGATGTCTGCTAAAGGGTGTTCATCGAAAGTCATACCTTGGTTGCTTTCTGCTCCCCTGCTAAACGTTCAACTTTTGGTGGTTTAATACGGAAAACCCATGAGTTGGCAAAAAGTTGAACTCCCAGCATCCAAACAAAATGCACCAAAGATATCGTGGCTCGGGCCACCGGGCCACTTTTGCCAGGGCCTCTTGGAGATCAGAGCCGCTCTTCACGGCGATCTTCACAGATGCCTGCGAAAGGCTCCAAGAGGCTCCGCTTCTTGGCGGGGACACCAAGGCAGGCAAGCCGAGGAGGTGTGAAAAAAAAAATGGTCAGAAACCCCCGGTGACATGAGTGCTCAAACCTAGTTGGGTTGGGGACCCGATGGTTTTTGCCTAGTTTTGCCGGGGGTTTCCCGTACAGGCTGGTCGCTGATGGAGAATCTCAGACAGTGTCAGTCTGCAAATGCTGCGTAAAAATCCCAAAATGGCTTGAGCTCGTGCTACGAATCTTTGGGAGAGATCGTTTGAGCCGATGTCCGCCGCTGCGGCGTTTGAAGAGGTACCCTTTGGGCGGCTTTACAAAAAGGAGAAGCCAAGCACACACCATTTTCTTGCTGGTTCTCAGGGAATGAGTTGGAATGACCCTTATAAACCATCCAACTGGTGGAGAGAACCCCCAGGTTCATTCCCTGAGCACCAGCAAGTTTTGGGAGGTCCCCTATGTTTCACACACACACACACACACTCGCTTCCCGAGGTTCGGCTGCGGCCTCCAGGGCGGAGCCGATCATCTTGCCCTCGCGTGCGCGCTCAAGGGCCAGGTTCACGGGGTCGCGCCTCGACCACATGCGACACCCCTGGCCCGCGAGCGCCTTTTCGGCCCATGAGGTGAGGTGTTCATCTTACAGAGGCTTGCTGCGATAGGGAGGGAATGAGAAATGGAATGAACCCAGGAATTGGTGCCCTTACAGGAAACCACCAGTTGATGATGGCTTGCAAGGGTTCCAAATCAAATCCCCACTCTTGGCACCAGCAAGTTTGGAAGTGAGGGGCGCATTGGTGAACTCACATCGCCTTTCGGCGCTGGCCGATGCCTCATATCGGCTCGACGAGTTCAACTCGGGGCTCCGACAGCTGCAGCACGCAGTCCATGTGATGAACCAACGGCTCCGCCTGCACTGGCGGAGCTGGTGGACAGAAAAAAACAAACCCACGCCCAAACCTCGCGTTCGTTGGGTCCGTGGCATGCGTGGCAGGCGGCTTGGGTTGAAATTTTGCTGCCGGCTCTTTTTGTTAAGCTCACTCAAAGGAAAACACACAAAAATAAAGGGCAACCACTCCATTCCGGAAGCGCCCACCCGAATCGCCCAGATCCCGGACCAGTTCCTGCCCAGAAGCCCAAGCCTCCTCCGGCTTGCCTGGGAAGGGCGTGCACCAGCCAGCCAGGAAGACGCTGGTCTCCTGTGCATTTTTCCTACCACACCCTGGGATTACGCCCTGAGACTAGCTCAACCAAACTGATCCCAAATAATGCAAAATAAGCCAGGCTTTATCTGGAAACAGGCTGGAATAGGCTGGAATCGCCTAGAGGGCGTCATCCCAGAGCAGGAAAACCCAAGCCATAGGCAGGCGGTATATCTCAAAAAAAAGGGCTCCAAGCATGTGTGTGTGTGTGTGTTTTTACCGGAACCCATGTTTGGATGGTTTGAAAGGAGGACCAAAAGAAAAACCACCCATGTTTGGTTGGGCTTAAGGAATTCCAAAAGGAAAACCGCCATGTTGCGGGATCCCCTAGAAAATGGCACGCCCGTGCTTCCCCCTAGATCACTACTGGAAGCAGATCTAACAGTGGTCCAATCGGTGATCCATCCAGCTGGAAAAGGAAACCTGAGGATCCCTGTAGGTGCCCTTTGGAAAAGTGGGGGGCCGTAAACTCAGGGTAGGCCCCAACCATGATTTTCTCGTGATTTGTCTTGGTTTCGGCCGCTGTCTTGTCGTAGCATGCGTTTGTTAGTGGTTGCTGATTGTATTTCCTGTTTGTTTGTGGTCATTGCGGTTCTTTCTGCCTAATTTCAGGTTCTGCGGTCGGCTTTGATTTGCTTGGTACAACGCCAACCTTTCGGATGCTTTCCCTTACAGCAAAGAAACTGGAAAGGAGCTTTGATGCTCCCAGCAAAAGGAAGCCGAAAGGAGGTCAGCGATTTGTAGAGTAGCACGTTCCGGGAATCAAAAGGCTGGTAGGCAGAATCTGCCAGGGGTTTAGACCCTTCCAACTAAATAAGACGCAGGAACTGATTTAGATGTACTCAACATGAGTGAGTAGAGAGTGCTCTGCCATCTCACTTCCCGAGTAGATTGGCCAAAAACAGTAATTGCTATTTACCACTAACATGACCCAAACCCAAAAAGTGACTCAGTCCAGCAACTCAGGAAGTGAGCCATAGGGCGCAACTGTCTGCAGAAGGTTTCAACAAGGGCCGACTGCCTGGTGTTTGACCAAGAAACAAAACTATTCGCGATATTGAACCCTTGGGAATCACCCAAGTATTGTTCAGGAATTTCTGATGAATAACTGCCGGGCTTCGAAAAATCAAAAGTGACGGGAAACCGCAAGCGCGCCCGCCACAAATGGGTGCGTCCTCCAAAATGGTTATTGTCCTTCTGGTTCCCGCGACCCAAGAAGGGGTACCCCAAAAAAAAAGACACCCCCAAATGGAGAACTGGTTGTCCCATTTTCCAGGGTGGCGTGCCCCTTAATTTGGGTGATGTTCAACTAACCCTTCGGTGGACATCACCGGCATACCAATCATTTTCAGAAGCTTCTCCAGTCTGCCACCAACTCAAGCGAATTGTGGCTTCTGCCAAAATGGCCATCCATAGCACCATTCCCGATCAAGAGGTCGGGTGCTTTCCAGACCCCCCCCCCACACGAGCCATCGCCCCAACACGATCAGAGCCTTTTTGCCTCTCAGTCAGTCACGCTTTACGGATCTGCATACGCTGGTTGTCTGCACACAGGGCTGCAAGACCGCTGGCGCTGTCCGAAGAAGACATGCTCTCAACCCAAAAAGTGACGACACTCCCTCACACTAACATGGAAGCTCCCAGACAGTCTTTTGTAAATGGACCCAAGTCTTCTAGAGGGGTCCATGTTGGAGGATAAAGTTCATGAACTCAGGGAGTGAGTACTGGCTATGGACTTTCGGGCGATTTGATTCACGTCGATTCCAACAGCTTGCCAGCGAGCCTTACGGGCCCTCTCTCACCTGCGCCTTACGGGTCATCCATTGAACCCCAAGGCCTTGGCCCTCCCCTGAAGCACCATTAGGTTTGTGGTGTTCCTTTTGGTGCTCGTCAACAACCAAAAAAAGTACCCCAAAAAAAAGAGAGACACGCCTACACCTCTTTGAAGCGATTTCAGGGGAGCTGACACAATGGCCCCAATGCAGATCCACCTGTAGTGATAACTAATGACAGAATGATGCACGACTTCAGTGACTCCGCACCATCCTGCCAGTCCCTTAGTTCGAAAAGAACGGCAGCCATGGATCGCTGCACCAAACAGGCGCAGCACGCTGCGTCTACACTCCTGCCCCAACGCCATCTAAAAAACAAAAAAACAAACAGCATACACCCAGTCGGCTATTCTGCACTTCATGTGAGATACTCGGAAACACTTGGCAACCACTTGGATATGTGTCACTGCCAGGCTGCACTCGGGCACATGGAGCAGGGCGGACAGAATTGCGCAAAACTGTGCAAACAGCGCTCAAACTCACACACCCCTTCTGGAGCCAGTGCAGAATTTTCTGCTCTCGCTCTGTCTCGCTCTCTCGCTCTCTGATCTCCTGGCAACCAGTTGCAATTTCCCTGGCATTTACCAGATCACGAGACCTTCCCTGAGAAGCCTTTCCGCTCGTGCACTGGCCCCCGAACGGTTCATTCTTAAACGCGTGCAAAGTGCTCGTCCAGCCTGCAGAGACTGCAGCCCGACGCCAGACCCAACATCCGTAATGAATTCGAGCCAATCGAAGGTGCTTGTGATTCGCTTCTCATGGCTGGGCTCACTTTGCCAATCTTTGTGGTCTGTGTTGTGGAGCACCAGTTCAAACCTGACGCAAGAGACGCGCCTGCTATCAGCTAGCACCTCCAAGCTGACCTGTAACTTGTGAGAAAAGGGAACCCTACACGTGTGACAGTCAAAATTACGTGTTTCCCCAACAACATATGGGAAAACTGGTGAGTCCTGTCCCTCGCAAATGGACCATAGCGCTGGAAATTCTGACATGTCGGTCTGCAATGCTTACAGCTCCCAAACCTGAAGTACGTGATCCCCAAGTAGCAACCTGGTGAGCTTCTTTTCCCATGTGAGCTCCAAACCCACAAATGATGTTGACCCAGGATTAATAAACCCGTCCCATTGTTTGGGGGGGTGTTCCCTCCAAAAGTAATGACTCCCCACTAAAAGGGGACACCCCCCCTTTTGGTCAACCAGGGGTTTATTTATCCAGGGTTAACATTAAACAGATCGCTTCTACTTCGAGCAACCGGCGAATGCATCCGCCTCATAAACGTGGCGTATCCCTTGGCCAGCACCGCCCGAGTTGTCCTCAGCTCTTTCGCAGATGGGCACCCCATGTTTCTTGGGTGCTGTAGATCCCCCAGCAAAAGTTTAACTTTTCGCTGGTTAAAAAAAGCTAAAGTCTAGAGATCCAACCCAATAGCAGTCGAGGTTTGTTGGCTCAAAATAATGCACGGGGAAAGCAAGCGGCAACAGAGCTGCGCAGGGCTTTCACCCTCCGACAAGCTCGGAGTGAAAAAAGTACCCGGGCTCGCGCTGCTTCCGCCCAGCGGCTTTGTTCATCCCAAAACTCGGCGCTTCGCGCCGCGATTTTGGAGTTCCCAGCAGCCTCAGAAATGCCCGAGTTGAGTCCCAGCGGGGGCGTGCATTGGGCAGGTGTCCTTTGTGGAATGGAAACCAACAGGAAACCATACAAAAATTTGGGATTCCCCGATTTTGCCTCAAAACACACAAATACCCAGTGTCTTCAGACGAAACCGACCTCGGCTTCTGGCCGTGGCAGCTCCGTCGGCGGACGGACTCCTCCCAAGGACTCGAAGCGGATGTGTTGAAGCCACTCCAAGTTAAAAGCGGGGTCTGCGCGGTACTTTTTTCTTTTGGAGTGTGAAATGCCAAACTTTCGAGTCGGAGGCTTCCCCCTTCTTGGGCGGGGAGGCGGGGTCCCCAGTTTGGAGAGAGGCCCTTGGTGTGGTGTCTAGGATGCAACGCGCGGGGAAAAGAAAAAAAAGTATCCGAGCCTTCGCCCACCTGTTCTTTTTGGGGGGGACCCGAGTTTGTTGGGCGGCTTTCCTTGGGACCAAGATTCTAGGGGTATCTTCCATTTCCAGTCTTTCCATTGATCCTTCTCCCTAGAAAACCACCAAAAACCCAGGGGAAATGGCTGGTGGTTGAAAAGAACGATGGCTGAAAGGAATGGGGAATCAACCCATGGAAAGATGAAAAGAAGAACAGCAAACAAACAAAAGAAGAACAAGAACCCAATGGGGGTTGGGGTGGAATGGGGGTGGGATCGGGGTTGAGCTAGGGTGTGAAGAGGAATCCTTTTCAGGTCCCAACTCAGAACAAGCAGCAATACAATTCTTGCAATGGTTGAAACAACCCTAAATAATCTCAAAATACTGGAGAATCACAAACCATCAAACTCAGAGCCGCGGTGTCACCCCTGCGACCAATCCAGCCGTTCCATCCGGCGGATTTTTGAAGTCGTCACAGGTCCTGCAATCTCCGTGCCTTCTGCAAAGGTGACCTGGCATCGACGAGAATCGCTCTCGCAAGATTCACAAACCACCTTTGCCCGTGCCTTGCGCTGCTCCTTCTTGTGCTCCCCCTCCTCACGGAAAACCGGTTGAATTCGCTCGCCCGAACCCTCCCACCAATTAACATGGAACCTGACAGGTGGATCCTGGAAGACCATGTTCCTTTTGAAGGGACCTCCGAACGTTAGGTTTCATCTTAATTGGTGGGATGGAATGTTTTTTGACTCCATGGCCCCTGACCCCCCCCCACCCCCGACCCCCCCCCCCACGACCCTGACCCCCCGAGCCCTTCCCCTGACCCCCCTCCTCCCCCCCCCCAGCCCTCTGGCGCCAAGAGACGGCTCGCTTGGCCACGGACTTCACAGCTTCGTTCGTAGCCTGAGCCATCAGATGCGAAGATCTCGGAGCCTCCGACATCTGAGTCGCGTGCCTCTGGCTTGGGGAACACCGGCTTGTCAGACAACTCGCCTGTCAGCGACAAGCTGCGAGAAAAAGAAGAAGAAAAACAAAACGGCACATCTAATGGAACCAACTACCAAACGCTACTGAATGTCCGAGTTTTAAGCGGTTTGGACCTCGTGAGGTGCTTGCTTCAAGTGCACCATTAGGGTTTCTCTCAAAAA